GTATTATCCTAATGGTTCAAGCAGCCATTGTGCATGGCGAATGGTAGTACTGCCGAATTGATTTACAGTTCGTATTATTTTTTGATCGATCGAGGAAAACCATGCTGTTTCGTTGTTTGTGGTTCCGTTTGAGCTTCTACTGGTACCATTACAAGGTTTGATTTTCGTATTTTTACGATAACATACTCTATTACCTCAAAACGTTCATCCTGTATAAGTTTTAATCGCGTTGTCAAGTATACAAAGACAGGCTGGCGTCTGTGCGTATCGCGCCAGCCATTGCGCCAATATCTGAATGCAATGACTTTCTCGTAACCTTAAGCTTTTGATTGTTCTCTATGGCCCCAGAAGGGTGAGTATGCGGCTAAAGAGACTCATCGCGATAAACTAGAGGCTCTACAACACCGCTGATAATAACTGGAGATCGGGGATGAAGGCACGTCATGATTTTCAAGGCATACATTTTCTCCACCATGTGCCCTCTGATAACGCGCTGTGGGGACCCTCATCTCAGGTGCATTATAATACGCCGACACAAAAAAGGCAAGATTCCCGGAAATTTCAAATATTTTTAACTCATTACACATTGATTATCATATCTACATTTGAAATACTTATTAATAATTTTAACAAAAGCAGTTTTAGAGTCACATTCGAAATCTCCAGTTTCAAATTTGAAGGACAATTGATGGGAAAAAATGATACAGTCAATTTAGAATAGGTCGCTCCGCTACTTATTTTTGAACATGTCAAGTTAGCATCAGTTCGTTTTGACGTAAAAGTAGCAGTTAAAAATGTGAAGATGTCGGATGGACGCCCATTTTGGAGCATTTTTCAAATGGAATGAGGGGTGGTGAAGCTGAAACTCCTCATAAGAAGCTCATAAGACATATGCGCGCCCATCAAAACAGTAAACGTAACAAAGCCACGCTATTCTTGGATCACCCAAAACATTAAGCTCATGATGAGATCGAGAAACAATGCATATATGAAATATATCATTACAATAGCAATGTTTTGCCATCTATAGACAACTTGTTTCAGTTAAAACCGGTCACCGTGGATAAAATATTACAGATTTTCAATAAAATAAAATCTCGGGCGATTGGACTAGATGGTTTGAATATAAATATGTTAGCTCTAGTGTTTCCTTTTTGTTCTAAAGCGATAACTCATATAATTAACTATTCGCTTGGAAAAGGGTTAGTTCCTAAAATTTGGAAAGCCGCATACGTTAGGCCTCTTGCTAAAATTGTAGCTCCGGAAGGACCTGATGATTATAGACCAATTAGTATCCTTCCAGTGTTATCAAAAGTGTTAGAAAAAATTGTATATGAGCAATTGATGCAGCACGTCACTACCTTTGAGATAATTCCATCTACGCGGGGTTTCGAAAAAACCACAGCACCGTAACAACTCTGCTCGATGTCTGTGACGACTTCATAGGGGCAATAGATAATTAATTCTAAAGTTACTACTGCTGTCATGATAGATCTAAGTAAGGCCTTTGATTGCCTCAACCATGAACTAATTTTTGCAAAATTTCATTATCTTGGCTTCTCCGATAGTTCGATCAATTGGTTTCGCAGTTAGTTTCATGAACGCATTCAGCAGGTAAAAATCGGTGACATCTTATCACAGGAGGGTACTATCTCCAAAGGTGTACCACAGGGGTCTATTCTTGGACCTATTCTGTTTTCTCTTTATGTAGCGGACTTAGATCAAGTCACTAAATACTGCAAATTACATACCTACGCCGACGATACACAGATTTATCTATCGTACAACCCTGCTATGTACACTGAAGCGAATGAGATGCTGTCTGAAGATTTAAATAGTATATGGGTGTGGTATAACAAACACGGCTTATGTATTAACCCTAGAGAGTCGGCCATCATAACTAATAAATCTAAATTCAGCAAATTCAATATTGAATCAACAAAGCTGTGTATTGGAGGTGATGAACTTTGCCACAAGACATCGGTTCGCAACTTGGGCATCACATTTGATGAGAACCTGTGCTTCCATGATCATGTCACCAAAGCTGTTCAGGGTTCCTATGCTAAGCTGAACTCAATTTATAGCAATAAAAATGTATTGTCCACGCAGACCAAGGTTAAGCTGTGTGACTCCCTTATCCTAAGTAAACTTGAATACGGGGACCTTGTCTATGGTCCATGTCTAATACAGAGCGACGCATACAGACTTCAAAAAGTGCAAAACAGCTGCATAAGATTCAGTTTAGGTATTCAAAGGCGGGAGAGGGTATCTGATCATATTAAAAATATTCAACTTCTTACTATGCGCCATAGGTGGATACTGCATCTATTATCATTGGTCCACAGTATTCTGATAAATAAAATGCCTCTTTATTTGAAGAACAAGCTTACCATGAGATGTGATCATCACTCTGCGAACCTGCGTTTTGTAGGATATACTCTTGTCCTGTCTCGGCACCGAACAACCCAATTCAGAAAGAGCTTTTCATATGTGGCGCCCGATTTCTACAATAAAGTACCTCAAGCTATGAAAACTCTATCTGTGTCCAGCTTTAAAAGAAAAGTTAGGCTCTTTGTCTTTGATGACATGTAGCATGTATTTTTATGTAATTTTATTTTTATATTTGTTTATTTGTGCATGTTTTCTCACTTGTCACTTTTCATTTGTTTGTGTTTTGTTTACGAATTTGTTACTGTTTACTTTTAATTTTTATATCTCCCGCCATATACCTAACATTTTCTTTTTCTTAAGTTACTCCTAAGCATGGTTTTTGAGTCTGCTACGTACTCTGTTGATGCCCGTTTCTCTTTCGGTCTTTTGGTCATTATACCATGCATAGGCTACGATTCTGTAAAATTTTTTTTTCTGCTTTAAATTTTCTTATTATCTTCAGTGTACTTTATTTGGAATTTGCATGTATAGTCAACGCCAAACAAAGTGGCGTGCACGTCATCACGATAAAAATTCCCCGACCTAATGCCTAGGTTTCTATCACAAACAATTGCTCTATTGCAGTTTCATATTAATGTGATATATAAATTGAAAAATGGTCATTACTCTCTTATTATGGTTAATAGTCATATAAACATTATTATTAAAATATCACATAAGTTGCTTTCTGATAAATTTAGACGCATTATGCGAAATAAAATGTTTTGCAAACGCTCCAATCACTTATCGACATGTAAACGCACTAAACCGATTTCGCAGCGTTGACACATTGTCACCTTGAAACTTATTTAAACTGGGAACTGACATTTGTATTAATTTTGACACTGAATCAATTTGTGGCATTTCAAATCTTTATAAATCCTTTGGCCCCGCATACTGTAAATCAACAACTGTTTGTTTCAAAACAAAATTATTCATTTTACGAGTAGATAAAGGCAATTTTGGTATTGTATTGCCCAAACAGTTAAATAGTCGGTGTAAGGAACTCGTGGCCTCGTTAATGCACTACTTTGAGCAAGAAAGGGACAACAACGGGCCTTTGTTGCCTTTAAATGCTGTTCAAGAGGTAGGTTACTAATAATTATATGTAATGTATATTAATAATAGTGAAATTTTATTTCATTTTTTGTAGCGTGTTGCTGCTGCTTTAAAAATTAGTTTAAGGACAGTTAGTCGTATTTCCGAGGGTGTGAAAAGTGATGCAAATTTAGAATCGCCCAAGAAAAAGCGGAGTTATATTAAACGTGTAACCAACACAGCGACATTGGATACAAGTGCCATTCGAGAAGTGATCTATAATATGTATCACAAAAGTAAGATCTTATTATAATAACTTATCAGAAATTTGCATTAATTTGTTAACTAAATTATAATGTCATATTACACATGGTTTCAGAAGAACAAGTTACGATACAAACTTTATAGTCTCGATTAAGAGATAGGGCATTATTTGATGGTAGTGCCACGTCTTTAAGGCGGTTGCTTAGAGATCTTGGATTTAAGTGGCTTAAGGACAATCCGCGACGAGGGCTCATGGAACTACCAAGTATAGCTTTGAAAAGGGTGGAATTTCTAAGGCAATACAATCAAGCCAAGGTTGAGGCCTTATACCAGTTTCTCTTCCTCGATGAAACTTGGATATTTCAAAATGGGACCATAGGTCGCTCTTGGCAAAATGGAAACCAAAAAAGCGTGAAAGCTATTAAAACAGATCGTAAAAGGTATGTACTTTTACACAATTTGCACTATAAAATTTAAAACTAATATATTTTAGATACATTATATTACATGCTGGAAATGAAAATGGGTTTATTGAGGGTAGTGAAGCGATATTTTCTTCGAAAACAAAATTGAGCGATTACCATGGAGAGATGAACCAGGACAATTTTTTGAAATGGTTTCAACATCAGTTATTAGAAAAATTGGAGAGTCCATCTATGATTATACTGGATAACGCCCCTTATCACAGCATGATATTGAACAAAGTGCCCAACAATGCATGGACAAAAAAAAATATCCAAGACTGGTTGACAAATCAAAACATAGGGTAGGTGGGGGTAAAAGTCCGCATGGGGTAAAAATCCTCAATAGTGTAGTTAGAAACTCTCTTATTGTTTTCTACCCAGCGATGCATGTCTCGGTCGGTATCTGGCAGAAGTGGCAACAGCGTGAACACGTGATCTGTACATCGTTATACGTGATAATTATGAGGTAAGTTGTGAATTTCTCTGCTTTAATCTAATATTTTTCAATATAGAGGTGAGGATTATGTGTCTTCAAGGCATCTGCTGGAGATTTTTTCAGTAGCTTTAAAAGACTAGTATCATCGACAACACGTTTCCAAAAACTAAACTTAATTTGAGGTTATGTTTTTCACACCAACCTTGATAAATCTGAAGTGTCGTTATGGGGCAAAAGTCCGCATGCCTAATGGGGCAACGATCCGCTAAGATCATTTTCCCGTTCCATGCGGATGTTTGCCCCGTTTTTGTTGATGAAAAAATCAACCGTTTGACCGAAAAGTGTAAACTGTAAATCGCTTTTTTCAGGACCTATATAAGAAAAAAAGAAAACCTAAAGCCACTCACCGAGTATGTGCTGATACAGGCTAAAGAGTTGAGAGAAAAGGGGCTATCATTTAGGGAAATAGGAAGAGCCCTTGGCTACGATGAATCAACTATTCGAAAGAGGATAAAAGCTGGCAGTGGCGTAAATTCATTAGGGCGGTTTCGAAAAGTATTTACTGCAGTGCAAGAACAACAGATGGTGAACCATTGTAAGGCATTGGACTTACGTTTCTACGGACTTACCTTGAAGTCGCTCCGCTTTCTGGCATATCAGTTCGCACACAGAAATGGTATCCCTCACCCATTTAATAATGAAACTAGACTAGCAGGTAGAGATTGGACGAGACAATTCATGAAAAGGAATCGACTTTCATTGCGTACCCCTCGAAAAACTAGCGTAGCTAGAACAATGGGATTCAACCAGCAGCAATTGTCTCAGTATTTCGAAAATTTGAAATATGTCCTTGAGAAGTACAAATTTCCAGCTAACAGAATTTACAACATGGATGAAAGTGGATTTCAAACCGTCCCAAGTAAATTACCGAAACATGTGGCTCCCACTGGAAAAAGAGAAGTAGCCAAAAATGTAGCTGCTGAGCAGGGAAAGACTGTGACAGTGGCATGCTCTATGAGTGCAACGGGTCACTATGTTCCACCATTTTTTATTTTTGCGCGAAAGAGATTAAACTCTCTTTTGATAAAGGATGCTCCAAGTGGTTCAGCTTTAGGTGTAACGGACTCAGGATACATGAATTCACTAAGATTCGTAGATTATTTAGAGCATTTTCGCAAGTACACAAATCCTACTTTTGACAGCCCTATACTGTTGATTCTGGACAATCACATTTCTCATACCAGCCTGCAGGCGATAACCTACGCAAAGAATAATAATATACACTTGCTCAGTCTTCCACCACATAGTAGTCACCGTACACAGCCCTTGGACAGAAGTTTTTTCAGGCCACTTAAAGGTTACTACGATGACTTGTGTGATAACTGGACTACCTCGAATCCTGGACAAGTAGTAACAGAATATCACGTTGCTGGACTATTCAAGCAGGCCTATGAAAAAACTGCTAGTATTGAAAAAGCCGTTAATGGATTTCAGATGACTGGAATATACCCACTCAATGAAAATATTTTCACTGAAGAAGACTTTCTTCCAGCTTCTGTGACCGAACAGGAGATTGACGACATAGACGACCTGGACAAAAATGACCCTGACATGCATTTAGTGATTGTATTTGAAGAAAACAAGCCCGAAGGCGATAACGAAGGGGGAAATGTAGCAGAGGGCATAGGTGAGGAGGGCACCAGTAGAGAGGGCAGTAGTGGAGAGAGCAATAGAGGAGAGATAAATAGTGGAAATGGCAATAGTGGAGCAATAATGCTCGAATCTAATGAAAAGAAAAATAATGTACCAGACAACTCCCTAATTTTGTCGGAAGCATCGTGCTCCTCACACTGTGAAGGTAGTGTTGTGCTACCTTCTGATATTATTCCTCTCCCTATAATTTCTAAAAAGAGAAAGCGGACGAGAAAAGGACTCAAATCTACTTTACTCACTTCCACTCCAAACAAAGAGGAATTAGAAAATATAGAGCAAGAAAAGAAAAGAAAAATGGAAGAAAAGGAAAGAAAAGCGAAGATTAAAAGGGATAAAAAAGTAAAAAGAAACGTGTTCAAAGAAAAACAAAATCTCACAAGAAAAAATAGCGAGACCTCATCGGAATCCGAATCAGGACTTTCCCTTCACGATAGTAGTAGCGATTTGAATCTTTCAACCAGTGATGAGGAAACAGTCCGTGAATTTACCCCAGGACAGTTTGTCGTTGTCAAAGTATACGGAAAAAACAAAAAATCATTTCGCCATTACGTGATGCGGATTATTGAAGTGATGGAAGATGGTTGTAGCGGAAGGTATTTCAAAAAAGCGTCCGATACACAGAGATTCATTGAAACTACTGAAGAATTCTTTGTCAATAAGTGTGACATAGTAAGTAGACTCCCCATGCCACAGACAGGCAGTTCCGCCAGGTTCAAGGATTCGGTTACGTTTTCAACAGACTTGAGCAACTTTGTTTTCTTATAAATACATATTATTTCTTTTGTATTTTATAAAATACTATGTTTTTCTGGAAATATATTCTTCAGTTATGTGACATGCAGTTTTCATTTTTTGGAGGTACTTTCTGAAAGGGGCAAAAGTCCTGAATGCGGATTTTTACCCCCTTCCAAGGGGCAAACGTCCGGATCATCATGTTTTGGTATGACACTTTTTCACAAACATACATCCGTATATTTTGCATTTGATTCATGTTACAAGTCAAGAGTATTAATAGTTCTAACATGTCAACAAGTTTGAAGTTCGTGTTATAAACGAATGCGTCACAAGCAACTACAAATGCTAAAATGCGGATATTTGCCCCCACCTACCTACCATTTTTAAACACAATGTTTAAAACAGAGCTATTGAGTATTGTTGCTCGGCACATAATGCTTCTTAATTATATATATTTTGGTCGACAGTTTATATTTCTTTTGTTTATTCCTATTCTTAAAATAACTGCTTTTTTAGAAACAAACCACCTAAAATATACGTGATTGATGAATTGGCGGAAAAACATGGGCACAAAGTTCTTCGTCTGCCTCCTTACCATTGTATATTTAACCCTATTGAGTTAATTTGGGGCATAGCAAAAGGTTACTATAACAGACATATTGGTAGAGATGGTAACAGTGGAAAAGACTGTTTGGATATGTGGAACGAGGCTCTACAAACGGTTACCCCAGACATGTGGAAAAATAGTGTTCGACATACTGAGCAAGAAATTTTTAAATGGTATGAAAGAGAACGAATTTTTGATCGACCAGACATCGAACCTTTAATAATCAACTTTGAGAGTGATGAAGATTCAGATTCAGACAGCGCTGAAGAAAGAAACTCCGACTAACTTTATTGTACAGAAAAAGCTTACACCAGTAGCTTACCTAATTTTAGAATGCATTTTTCTGTATGAATTCTGTAAAATAAATACCATGCATAAAATTTGGAGGACCCCATTTGGATTTTTATTCAGTACCTTTAAGCTATCAATTAAATATGGTAGTTTCATAGTGTCATCTGATCAATAATTGTCATACTTAATGATTATGCAAGTACAGATCTATAATTTTATTATACTATTATTTTTGTTCTCATTTGAGGTTAATATTGCTTATAAATCTAGATATGTAAATAATAAATTTTATTATTTTACAAAAAGTTTGGCAACAATGTAAATTTTTCAACACACCCACCTTGATGACGTGCACGCCACTTTGTTTGGCGTTGACTATACTTGATTTTTTTTTAGCCCTGGTTGGTTCTGAAAAACAGCTTGTGCTGATGTAACCCGCCAGGTAAAATAAAGGCCATTTATTATTATTATTATTATTATAATCCTAGTATACAAATACCATCCTTCCAAATTACGGAAATAAAGGACAAACAATATGGTTATGCACTCTCTCTTGTCTTCTTATTCCTTCTTAAAATCAAAATTTATACGAAACAAACGTCGCTGCCGGCTAGAACAACCGGCCATGTTTAGTTTTGATCATTTCTCCGTCGATGAGTATGGATTTTATTTGGAGAAGTGTTTAAGAACCTCATCAATGAATTTTAACAATGATTACTTTTCGATATTGTGAGCTGTGAAGTTTTTGTTATCATATTTTCGTTTTTCTCCTTTTGCTGAGATTTCCCGAAGGAGTAAATTTCGAAAGCTTGCTATGGACACAGTCTCCTAATTTTTGATTGCATTACGGTTGCAACCTCAGGAATTGTATTTTATATCACCAAGAAAACGCAATGAGCGGCTGAGCATATTTTGACATTTCACTCATTAGACGACATTGCTGTTTCAACTACAAGGATGACAATATATACAGCCCAACTGTTTTAGAATTTTTGCGCTTAAGGCCCGTATCGTCAGTCGTCCCTACAATAATTGTAGGGCGCCTTTATGGCCTCCTTGATTGTCATAGTTTTCTACTTCTCCGTGTCAGAACTCTATTGTGAGGTTATGTCACAAACATCTATTTGCATCAAATTGTACTTGCTTTCGAGTTATATCATGTTTTATCAGCCTGAAATTTCCTACAATAGAAAAAGAAAACATATCTTCACAATAGGAGAGCGCTGGCGCTGACGCTGACTCGGGACAAGTGTAATCTAGAAATTTTTGAAGGAGAGAAAGGAGTATGACAATCAAGGAGGCCATAAACGCGCCCTACAATTGTAGGGACGACTGACGATACGGGCTTAAGTTATTCAGCACAAAGTAGAGCACATGCGCATGCTCATCTAGCGCCGTCAAGTTCAAAAGTTGTGCAGAGAGATTAGTTTAAGGTCTTTGCATGTACGGTCGTATTTTTGGGAATTTGAAAAAATATAAGGAAAACTAGAATATACTTTATGTCTGGGATCTGGTATCAAAGAAACAGATTACGTAAGTCTCCAGTTTTGATCAAAATACTGTCAAAAACTATAGTCTTTTTTGGAAGTTACTGCAAAATGCCATACGAAATGCTTAAACAGATTGACGAACTGTACCATGTGTGGGGCTTGACAACCCTAAGCAGAAATGTACAAACCGATTCTTCACATGCTCTTGCACACATATAAACTGGATGCTAGGAGACCGTTGTATTCATTCGGTGTCCAATAAATTTAGCACAAATTATTGAAATTGTAGATGTATCTTCAGGCATTTCCAAGTCTTATATCGAAAATCAACAAAAGGCAAACTCGCTCGCTTATGACATACTGACAGTAACAATCATAAATGTGAAAGTCGAGAACATATTTACCGCTTTCGCTCAAATAGTACTCGCAACGGTATTTTAAATGATAGACACAAGCGTTGTTATTTGACATAATATAATTTGCAGCCTAGAAAGGATGGGAGAGTGTAAGTACTATACATGATTTTATACTCTGCTATGAGCACAATCTGAAGAAGGCGATACCTAATGACTGTATTAAAAAACGCATAGTGGTATCACTGTTCGAAATGACAAGAGTATCATTGTTAATTATCGTAAAGGGTCAAAAAATATCAAAACTGTTGTTTTCATAATTATTTAGTGTCTGGTAATATATAAAAAAGAGAAGACTTGTGTAGGAAATTAAGAGGATATACTATTATGTCGTGCATGGCAGAATTATGTGCAATATGGGAAGGACTATAGTTTCATGGCACTGTGAGGTATTTGTTGATTGTACATTGCATAATGTCCATTGTTAAAGAGGTAGCTTTGATTCATAAAAGTCCACTCTACACACAGAATCGTCTCTAATGACAGTTAAGATTATTATTTCAGGAAAATCTATATATACCGACTTTTAGACAGTTAGATTCGCATTTAGTGTTACTTGTGTGGCGTTGCAAAAAATACTTGTAGTGTACAAACAATATAATCTGTGACGGCGCTATGGACTTGTTGATGTCAAGGCCTTTATATCAGATGAATCGAGCGGTCAACGGCACGCAGCGTTGCTGAAATTTGGAATTCCAAAGAATTTATCACCTCTTTAAAAAGGCCGACGTCGCCGTAGAAGGACATTAAAATACGTCGTGTCAATTTGTCACGCCATTTTTGAGTTATGGCCCTTCCACCGTAAATTTCCTACGTGTAAAAATCTATTAATCTTGCGCTTATGGTAAACGGGTATGTAAGGGGTATTCATAACATACGAGCTGCTTCCATATGAACGTCAAATCGTACAGGGAGTATAAAAAATTGCACGGAGAGTCTACTATGGAGTATAAAGAAGTGCTGAGAATGTAACTTGGGAATATCACTTCCCTCATGTTCACAACCTTGTCTGATCAAATTGTACACTTAGTATGGGGAAAGTATATCCCTTAGAAGTCAGAGTACATCTATTGGAGAAGACATAATATCCCCTTGTTTCCATTGAACGAGACAATGCATTATTTTGAGGAATAAATCTACGTTGAATCTATGAATGAATTTTGAATGCATATGAAGGCGTAAAGCGAATCAAAATAATAATAATAATAATAATAATAATAAATGGTATTTATTCATCAGTCAAGGTAACTTAAGAAAAAATATAATGCAATGACAAATTGATGAAAGGCGTAGTTCAGTCTAAGCTGCTTTTTAACTAAACCCGTAAAAAATAACTCATATAAGATATATATAAAAAAATAATATATAATACAAAATACAACATACGAAGCATCGCCACCCCGATCGTTGAAGCGCACTTTAGGCTAGGGAGCTTCGCCCACTATCACCTGTTGGGAGAGGTCAGAACTCAGGTGGCACAAGATCAGTGCAACCCTAGGAGTCGGTTGGCTTGACGAAGAGGTGAGCGGGGACTGCCAACAGTGCAGTTGCCTCTCCCCTCATCTACACAGATGACGGCCTTGTCCTCGAATCGGGTAAGTCTGTAGCGTATGTGAAAGAATGCGGGCAACCTGTAACATTTTAGGAAAGTGGCGTGAGAACAGTTAATCCATCTCCATGATCTTCCAGTGAAGAGGTGGGTATGGTGTTGGATAGTAACTTGTCATCGAAGAAGCATATCGACTACATCTACAAGATGTCGGTAGCGATCATGTGGCAGTTACGTCGAGTGATCTGTAGGATTTGGGGTTTAAGACTTAAGGTCAATTGACTGTATACGACGGTTATAAGACCTAAGATACAGCAGTATAAATTTCGTCAATATTCAAACTTGGCTGCGCTGGGGATAAGTGGTGCGACAAGGACCAACCACTTCTGAGTATCTTGACCTTATCTTAGGACTATCGCTACTGGAAGCCTGTAGAAAACAGGAGCGTACCGGTGATTGGCCACTCCAGGATCAAGGATGTGACAAAGAAGGGTCTACCAAATCTGCG